TGAAAGTGTTTCGCTTACAGATTAGGTTTACCCACCAGTGCATCTCAATGAACATATGTAATGACAAGTATTGATCCAAGTTACTGAGCTCAAAGTTCTCCAAGGCATTGATTTCCTAGAGGGAAAAACTAAATAGTTGGAGCCATAATCTAGCTCTTAATGTAATGTAAGTGTTGAGGAAACTACTTTTTTGTAGTTCTGCTTGCATCAGTCCAAGCAGGATTCATATAGTAGTTTCGAACATTGGAGGTGGGTGCACTAACAGAGACGACAGCCTCGGTAGCACCTCTTGTGGCCAGGCGAGTGAGGTTAAGTTCAACAGTTCTCACTAGATGAATTATTTTACTCCCAGGTCATGGCACCAACACAATCGCCCCAGTTGTATTTATTACAGTCCAAGCAGGATTCAAACTGGAGAATTAGCATGGGGGATTAGTATTAACTAGAATTAACTTACGTGGATGCTGAGTACTGCAGCCTCTAGTGCATATCTTGAGGCTTGTCAAGAGTGCTTTACTTGCACAACTCTGACTGGTTGGCTTCTTTTACAGTCACTCTCATAAACCTCACTCCCACCTGGGTCATGGCACCAACACAATCTCTCCAATTGTAGTTGTTCCAGTCCAAGCAGGATTCAAACTGGATAATTAGCATGTGGGATTAGTGCTAAATAGTATTAACCAACATGGATGCTAAGTACTGCAGCCCCTAGTGCACATCTTGAGGCTAGCGAAGTGCAACTTACTTGCACAGGTCTGACTGGTTATCTTCTGTTACACTCACTTTCCTAAACCTCTGTTCAATCTGGGTCACGGCACCAATGGGAAGAGGCCATTAATAAAAAGCATCAGTAAATATTCATGGAGGATTAAGGTTTACTCCCACAGCTCACATAGACCTCTGTTTTTAAAATGCACTGACGGTATTGTGTATGATTTGTTCATTCAAACATTTATTTGACCTTGTGATTTTCAATCAAATGATTACAACTCTATTTACCAGCGAAACTAATCTATTCTGGTATATCCATAGAGAATTTTTCATCCATGTAAACAAGCTTGCATTCCGATCTACCTCCTTATTATCAAAGAGTCTGATGGATCGAATCAAGGTCTGCCCTACATATTGCTATTTTAAAGTAGTTAAATCAGAAGTTAGAGATAATATGATTGTGAAAATTACACATCGTATTTGTGTATGTTTTACAGAAGATTCACGAGACAGTCAGGAATGGTATGATAATGCATAGGAACTGAGTTGGGGATTGGATCATATCAGCGCTGGGTTAGCCTGCCACTCTCTGCAGGGTGTGGATTTATGGGTGAGCAGGGAAGCTGCAGGCCTTGATTAAATCTCTGACCTTCACCACTCACACAGGCAATCAAGGCGAGGATAAATTCATCATTGCATTGATCCATCAATTGAATTGCATTTCCGACACTAGCGATGGCTTGACCTCGGCGGCCTGCAGGATTGTCTAATTTGCTCACAGTGCAGATTGCTAACGCTCTCGTCTTAACTGCACTGTGAATTTACGTCTCTACCCCCTGAGACACGCCATCATGAACCACCTCCCTTCCAACAACAACCCCTTGACGAATGCCAAGCAGCAAAGCAATCAAATAAATATGCCCTTTCCAATTCATTAACATTCACACGGGCACCCAAATTTACATACATTAGAATTTGCAGAAGCTCTGTGAAGTCTTTTTTTTATTGGTGCCTTGAGCTAAAGTAAGGCTAACGTCATGCTAAAGTCATACTCCGCACCTTCTTTTACTCTCCTACGCGCTCCTTCTCTCAGGCCTGTGTTTATGTGAACACTATGCATTTGTAATTGGGTAAAAGGCTGAATTCATCCTCACGTATTTCGCACGACTCCTCTGAGAGACAGGGAAATTGGGTCATCCATTGGGGCTTTGAGGCAAACAAATGAACGTAAGAGGCAGACGTGAAAAAGATGGAAAAGAGAAGGAGAGATAGGAAGAAAAGAAGCAATGAGATGGCTGTTTTTGCTCTTAGAAAGGGCCACATTATAAGGAGACAGTCAGGTTGGCTTTCTCTGGCTTGTAAACATAATCATGTGCACTCCGAGGCAGAGAAATGTTGGAGTTTGAATCCAGGTCTCAAGGATGTGTTTTGGTTTTGTGAAGTCCTTTAGGGACGCTCTGCTACAAGAAACTATTTGTAATTCCTGCACTCTGGCTCGTTTTTCTCCACTGGTTATTTAAGTCCGTGTTGACTGACCCATTTTTACAGAACATGGGATGTTGTAACAGCTCGGAGAAGGAAAAGGGAATGTGTATTTACAGCAGAAGTGTGTACTTTTATGCCTTTAGCAAGCCAATTTGCAAATTGAGTGCATGTTCTTAAACAGGTTTCCAACATGTTGTTATAACAAACAGTCCCATCCCAAACGCATCCTATTAAGGCTGATTTATACTTCTGTGTTGAGTGATTGGCATGACCCAAGGTGCCTGCCTTGCACGTAGCCGTCGTTTATACTTCTGTGTGCAGTTTGTGTTGCTCTGCAATAACACTTCCGAAATGCTAGCTAGCAGTAGGGCTATTTATGTTCCTCTGTGTTGAGTTTCTTCGTTGGTGTTTTGTATTTTTTTCAATGCCACCTTAATGTACAAGAAGCTAAAACTCGCTCATTCAGAAGCCGGATCTAGCGGACGTCCTACAGCTTTAATCAAAAGGTAAAAATAAAATAAAAACTATTTCAGGGGACTTAACATTTGTAAACACTCGACCATCTGGCTCGCGGGTCTCAGCACTGCTTGCAAAATGTATCGATGCGACGTGTTGTTAAATTTTTTTAGAGATACCTCTTAGTGTCGGCGGGAGCCGTGGCGAGGGGTCTGCGACCGTGCGAAGGCTTCGCCGGAGCATACGTGTGCTTGACGCAGAACTAGAAATCAGCCTTTAGTGTGTGCTGATTGCTGTATTGCATGATTTCTGTATTGAACAAAGCCAACAGTTTATTGGAAGCTGTCTTTGTTTTTCTTATATATCGAATTTTAAAATTGCCATAAGATGCGTTTGACGTATTGGTTTGTCCTGTTTTTGTTTGAGTTTGTTTTGTTACTTTTTTTTGCGAGTGTTTCTATTTATTATTTTAATAGTGCCTTGTTCATTATTGGTTATGGTTTTTTTTTTTGTACTTTCTGTTTTGCTTTTGGTTGTTGTGCAGTTTATTGTTTTTTTCTTTTGGTTATTTTTTGTTTTGCTTTTGGTTGCTTTGCATTTGGTTGTTTAATTGTTTATATTATGCTGTGCTTTGTTTAGTTACTTTTTTATTTTTAGTTTGCTTATAGTTGCTTTTTGGTAACATGAATAACTATACACTACGAACCATCTATTAAGAATTAACAAATAGTTAATTCATTATTTGTTAAGTATTAACTCCACATTAAAAGATGTTAGCAGTTTATAACTACAGCTACAAATGCTGTATTCTGTATTGTAAATACTGATTTATTTTTTCAATACTAAATTAAATATTGCATTATTTACAAAGTAGTTATTTAAGAATAGTGGGCAGTTTTTAGAGATCAGTCAGCACTGAAATGATTAAATAAAGTATTCAAATAACATTTGTATATCTTATTAATCAAGCATATAATTATAGCTAATTTGAATGTTTATAAATTCACTATTTAGTCAACTTCATCCAGTTTTGTGACCTATATAAGCTCGGTAATATTCTAAATAGGACAAAAAAGAAAATAAATTACTTTATCAATTTATATTTATTGAAAGATACACAAATGAAACTATCAAATGAAAAAAAAAATTAGAGGACTTATTACTTATTGTAATATACTTTTATATAAAATAAAATTACTGTACAGTTTAAACTTTGCTAAATAACTTTGAAATGTTGTACCATAATATATTGTTAAATTATTACATTGTAGTTGTTTTATCGAGTTTTATGTTATATTTTGACACTTGTTTTTTGGCAGTGTTTAAACTTTACAGTAATTTTATTTTTTGCAAACATTTATTGTTTATTTGATACTAAGCCTTAACTAGGGATTTATAAAGCATAAATCGTCCTCATTTTAGATTAGGACACAAAACTGCATGAAGTTATAAAACATTTATTAACATACATAGTAACCATTACTATATGCCATGAATAATTAAATATATAAATGTTGATTTCTATAGTTTATTAATCTAACTCAGTCTGAATGATTCTAAAAACCACCAACTACTCTTAAATACAAATGATTGGTAAATAATGCAATGCTGCATTTAGTAATGAACAACTAATAAGTAATAAAATATAAAAATAAAATTATTAAGGGCATTATAAATGTGCTTATAAGTCAAGAATAGAATTGGGTTGGTTAAATTGTAAAAAGTATGAGTGGGTTGCAGCTGGAAGGACATCCGTTGCGTAAAATATATGCTGGATAAGTTGGAAGTTCAATCCACTGGGACGACCCTAGATTGATAAAGGGACTAATCTGAAAAGAAAATGAATGAAGTCAAAAATAGCATTTGTAGCAGTATGCTTACTAACGTCTATTATTGTAGAGTTAATACTTAACAGAAAATGAACTAAATATTTGCTAATGCATAATAGATGATTCATAGTATGTAAGTGTGTTACCTTTATTCATTTATTTATTTATTTTTTTTAGTTTGTTTGTTTTGACTTTTCTTTTCTTTTTATATTTTAGGACTGCTCTGTGAAGTTTTTTTTAACGTTTAGTCTCCTGTTTCTGTTTACCTTTATTCATTTATTTATTTATTTTTAGTTTGTTTGTTTTGACTTTTCTTTTCTTTTTATATTTTAGGACTGCTCTGTAAAGTTTTTTTTAACGTTTAGTCTCCTGTTTCTGTTTACCTTTATTCATTTATTTATTTATTTTTTTTAGTTTGTTTGTTTTGACTTTTCTTTTCTTTTCTTTTTTTCTTTTTATATTTTAGGACTGCTCTGTGAAGTTTTTTTTAACGTTTAGTCTCCTGTTTCTGTTTTGCAGCCTGCAGGCCAGGCACCTACAAAGCCTCTTCCATGGACGCCTACTGCTCCAAATGTCCTCCACACAGTTTCTCTCACCAGGAAAAGGCTTCTGAATGTTCCTGTGAGAAAGGATTTTACAGAGCTGACATGGACCCGCGGTCAATGGCCTGCACCCGTGAGTGATCCAATACTACAGCTATAAATCTATGTTAGATGGATAGTGCATGTTGATGGTCAGCGAAAGGACCATGGATGCATGAACTGATGAAAGGAAGGATGAATAGATAGGTGCATGTAATTATAAATGCATGGATGTGCAGTTTGGATGGGTGAACTGATGGAAAGAGGGATGAATGAATAGATTGATGCATGGATGGATAAAATCATGGTTAAGTTAGCTGACTAGGTAGTAATTATGCATGGATGGATGCATGAATGGATGACAGATTGTTTATAAGACAAGTCTGCAGGCTTTTTTTCCCCTTATTTATTCTTATAGTCTGAGCTCAGTGCATTTTTATCTCCATCACTGTCTCATCATCATACATCATGTCAGATTGGACATTTAGCACTGGGTTTACAAGTCTGGTGAGGTCACCTTATATAGACCAGGAGAGTGAGTCATTGCTTATGTTTGTGTGTGTCTGTGTGTGTGCTGTGGATTTAAGGGTGGAAAGATGAAAGGATAAAATGAAAAGCAGGGAAGAGGGAAAAAATGCATACGACAGATCCTCATTAAAGGACTCATTCATCTGATAAGGCAAATCATGCGTGCAGCTAAACATATGGATGCACTTAATGACCTTCAGTTGTAGTACATCCCATATACCTAACTCATTTCTCACCCCAAACACACACACTGAATGCTTAAGCTTTAACGAAACAATTAATTAGGGCAACAGCAGTGAAATGACACTGTTTATACAGTACTGTATGTGAAAATCATGTGTCAGAATTGGAAAAAAAGAATGTGCTAATGTAATTACTGAGAACCCAGCTGCGAATCACACACATGGATGACATAGAGTTTAGCTTATTTGCATGACTTTAAGGGATAGTTCACAAAAAAAGTATCCCATTAACACACCTTCCACTTATTCCAAACCTGAAATGTTGAAGAATATTGGAAATTTTGGTAGCCATTGACTTCCATACAATGTCAAATTGTGTTTAATCAGGTTCAACCAGTGGTATAAACATCATAATCTTTATCTTTAAAAAGCAAATATATATATAGTAATAGATATAGATAATACATAATAGATATGTTATAATAAATATTCTAGTTTATTCTAGCACAGAAAGTTATACTGAACATGGTCAGACTTTATTCTCTTTTTAAAACTTTTTCATTTTTCAACGGTCAAACTAAAGTTAATAAATAAATAAAATATACAAATATAATAAATTAATAAAATAAATATAATAATAAATATAATATAATATAAAAAATAATATACTAGAATCTCTGGAGTTTAAACTGATAAGACTTATGAGCATTAGGCCTGTCACGATAGTCAATATATTGCAATATATAAAAATGAGCACGGTTAATATATTGTCTATTTTATATAAAGTTATTTAAGATGATGAAGATAGGCTACATAATGTGACAAGCTAAGTGTTATGTCAAATGCACTGCATTCCACTTTCTGTGGAAGGCAGGGCTTATGCAGCATCTCCATGCATGCTACGTGCACACACACACACACAAGTACAAGAGAGAGTGAGCAGATAGTGGAGGGTAAAGAAGGCAAGACGCGAACCCACTGATTCGTGTTTAGGAACTACAGTTCGTTAGTACAAACAAGTCGCGATGAACTTGGTTTTAATGTCACTGTCTTAAGCTCTGGTGTGGGAACATTTTGGCTTCAAGCGATTGAAAAAGGAGAGTCCATTAGTGTGAATGAGCCGATATGTCGAATTTGTTTCAGAACAGTAGCAATGAAAAAAGGCAACACAATTACACAACTAACCTTAAATTACACCTAAAACATAACCACCCTACCTATTTTTTCAACAAGGGGACAACAACCGCAGTTGGTACTGGGTAGGGGTCTTCGAGACAGTTAACTGTAATGGGTGTATTTACCAGCCAGTGCAAAAATAAACATGACAACGGGAAATGGCACACACTCACAGACAGGTACCATTCTATAGCTAAAGAGATGTAGCTGGTAAACATGATCAAAAAATAGAATTAAAAAAAATATAAATATAATATAAATAAAAGGCTGCAAACCTTTAACAAACAGTCCTGTCTTATAATGCCTGATATGGTTTAAAAGTCTATTTTTTTACTTTTTTGTTTACATCTACTATTTATTATTATTTATTTGTTTTAAGATATTTTTTCATGATTCAATTTTAAACATCTAAATATTCTTAAAAATAAAATGTTTTTAAAGCAGTGTACCTGAATTATTACACTATTATGATTAAAAATGCATTATTTTTTTTTATTAGTGATATAAGTTATAAAGTGGCAATAATATGTTTTATCACAATTAATTTGGGTGTAATATATTGCCCAGCAAAAAAAAAAAAAAAATAATAATAATAAATGATATTGTGACAGCCCTAATGAACATTTAGTTTATTTTTCCAGAGTATCTAAGGTACAAGCTGTTAATGATTCACCTAACTTGGTGTAGCATCTCACTTGCATTTAAAGAGACATACACTCAAAAAGTGTTATCCAAAACAGGAATTTATTGAATTATATAATAAAATGGGAGGTATTTTCAGCTGAAACTTCACAGACACTTACTGGGAACAGCCGAGAATTGAATGACATCAAAAGGGCACAGCAGGACTCATTTTAAAAGAACACACTCTCTTTTATGTCAGTGGCTTTGATGATTTTTTTTAGTTTGTGAAGAATATAGAGATCTTCATCCACAGGTTACTGCAAACACACCCTGATCTATCCCAGGGGAACTTCCCTTTCCACCGGCTTGTAGATCTGGTGAAATGTCATCACCGCAGACATCTAAACTTCTTCACCCTGATCCCTCATTTCCTCTGCTCCATTTACTCCCTCTGTACTGAAACTCTCACACAGACTCTTCAAGACCTTTGTGCTAGAGATGTACAGTTGGACTGGTAAAGTTTTTTATGTTTTGTTTTTTTCCCTCATTGTAATCCTTACTGTAGGCTCAAAAGTTTTTTTTTTTTTTTTTTTTAGAAATGTACATGTTTTAAAAAGTAAAAAATAAATAAACAAACAAAAACATAATGAGTGAAAATCTGTGAAACTCTCTGAAGCTAGAGTAAATATCTATACCTATATGGATAATGATTTGAAAACCAATAGAGACATGACCAAGCACTTGTGACAGTCAGAGCAACTCATGAGATCAACCAGGTATGGTTTGATACAGTGCAGTGCAGCATGAATTTATTTCTGTTTTCACCATCAGAAATACCAAAATAGTGAAGCGTACCATGCCATAACACTTTCTTACCAACTAGACTTGCCTTTGAAAGCTATTGGTTTAGCATTCACTTGCACACACAACAAGCCATGGGAACAATAACAATGAAATGATTTTTATATGCACTGCTGGAGTATAGCGTTGTAATAATAAAATGGACCATGCTGAAACAAAGCTTGTCTCTTTTTGTGACAAACGATGCCATGAAGCAAGGTGTCCTCTATGCTGTATGTCCTCTATTGTTGTTTACAAGGCCTTTTAAATGTCATGGCTAAACATGTGAAGGGTGCAAGAGGTGCCACTTCCTCTCTATTTGCATACTGTTACGTATTCTAACTTTGCATGACGCCACCCAGCAAGCCAGACCTGTAACAATAAACAATATTAAATAAAAATAATTAGGACACCACTAAATTAGCGAGGAGCCCAGAGTTTCATCTCCCATTTAAAAGGAAAAAACAACAACAAATATGTATATATAAATCCAGATATTCCGGTATCAGAATTGGTCAATTTGCTTGCAAAATTCAGCAATTGGAACAGGCCATGACTAGTGAAAATCAACCTTCATTCTCTAGAAATGTTCAGGTGTGATTACTGAAGCTTTGACTTTCCATGTGGAGTAAGTGCATTGGCAGATGTTCTCATCTCATCCCCTTGCGTTGGCTGTATTTTCATCTTAAGAACAACTATTTAAGTGTGCAGACACCCCGCTGAACAAAGTAGTGTTAAAAAAATCCCTTTTCTGCAGTCATGCATATTTGCAGGCTTGGCTGCGTATTAAATAAGATACCCAGTGGTAGAATTATCCAGCACCTTACAACCCTGCTCAGACCATTCTGTCATTATCATGCCCTCCTTTAGGTGTTACCCACAATGCACTGCAGCAAAGCAAGAAACATTGAGTGTTAAAACTCCAGCTAAAGCGCACAGGAGAGGTTGTGTTGCTCGCTGTCTCAGTTGGTGAGCTTGCATTAGTGAGAGTGCTGCGCAGTATGGGTTTGCCTATTTCTGGTTGGAATAAATGGAAAAAAAATGCAGGATGGGGTTGGTTGAAGTTAGCTGAAGTTGCAAACACACTGAATAGTGCTCACTGGATATTACAAAAATGAATGCGCAGTGCTTGGAATAATATGTTTATTCACCCTGAGGTTATAATCCCTAAAAATAAACCCTTGTATATAGAATAATCAAACATAAAGGTGTGTACAAATAAGATTGTATTGTTAGTTTATGTGAAGAGATTAAACGATGATAGCATTGATAGATGCAGAGATGTACCCCCTCCCCCTAACATCTGTAAAGTGCTTTGAGTACCCAGATAACAAAAAGTAGCACCACTTTTCTCATTGTCTCTGTGTTTTCCCACCTGCTTTGTTCCCAGGGCCTCCGTCAGCACCGGAGAACCCGATCTCCACCCTGAACGACACCTCAGTGACTTTAGAATGGAGTCCTCCTCGAGACAGCGGCGGACGAGGAGATGTGACCTACAGCATACACTGCAGAAAGTGTGCTGGCGACGGAAGGATATGCAGCCCCTGCAGCAACAATGTCCACTTTGTCCCAAGACAGTTCGGCTTGTCGATCCCAAAAGTGCTGATCACAGACCTGCTCTCCAACACCAACTACACCTTCAGCGTTGAAGCGGTGAATGGGGTGTCAGATCTGAGCCCAACCCCTAAACAACTAGTCACAGTCAACATTACCACCAGTCAGACAGGTAGGCTGCATCTCTTTTTTTTTCTTGGTCATATTTAAAATTTTGGTTTGTTTAAAATATTGATTGGATTTTTTTGGTCGGTGACACGGTGGCTCAGTGGTTAGCAATATCATCTCACAGCAAAAAGGTTAGTTAGAGTCCCGGCTGGGTCAGTTGGCATGTCTTTGTGGAGTTTGCATGTTCTCCCCGTATTCGAATGGATTTTATCCAGGTGCTCTAGTTTCCCCCACAGTCCAAAGACAAGTAGATTGAATAAACTAAATTGGCCATAGTGTATGTGTGTAAATGAGTGTGTATGGATGTTTCCCAGTACTGTGTTGCAGCTGGAAGGGCATCCGCTGTGTAAAGTTGGTGTTTTTATTCTGCTGTGGCAACTCCTGACGAGTAAAGGGACTAAGCTGAAAGAAAATGAATGAATGAATGAATGAATGAATGAATATATTTATTTCCATTTAGAAAGGTAAGCCCTGCCCACTTTGGAAGCTGTTTGGTTCAGCAAATATGCTGCGATCGGCTACTTTTTTGTCAATTTGTGTAGTAGGGCTGCATGATGGAATTACAGAAGTACTGAAATGTATTGGAATCAACTAGTTTAGATAAAAAATAAGTAATTTATCTAAACACCTTTATTAACAAAAAGACTAATATTTTAAATCTATTGTTGCATTGAGGTAAGTCCTGCCCACTTTAGAAGCTAATTGGCTTAATAAGCTAGCAACAAATATGTCGCGATTGGCTATAATTTTGTCAATTTGTTCAGAAGGTCTACATGATGGAATTATCCAGGAAATTAAATATATTAGAGTTAACTAGTTTGTCAAAAAAATTAAAAAATTCACTGTATTTTCTATATAGAGAAGGTCTTATTTGTTTTTGTTTTTATTTTGGCTAGAATGAAGGCAGTTTTTATTAAAAAAAAAGAAAAGAAAATAAGGTCAATAATATAATATTGCCCCCTTAAGCAATATTTTTTCCGATTGTTTACAGAACTAACAATCATTATACAATGATTTGTCTAATTACCTTTACTTGCCTAATTAATTTAATTAATCTACTTACAGTTTTCACAATTGTTTGCACATATATTCTGAAAGCATATCTCGTATTGTCACAACTCTACACACAAATTGGGCAAAACTTTTTAATTCTCCTGCAAAATGAAACTTTTTATTCAAAACAATGTGATTTCTTCTCAAAAGGGTTTTTCGTTTTCAAGTGACACAAACCATCACATGAATAGACATCTATAAGAACCAGTTGATCACTGATGTGCTTAATGTAAAACACTATGATCACTTTTTTCTCCATTCATCATAAAGACTTACTGCAAGCCTTTTTTCGTTCAGTTACACTTACTACAGACAGTACATAGGTTTACATAAGTGCATTGTAAATTATTTCAGAATATTGTTTTTATACAAAATACACAGTACCAAATATATTTTACTGTATTTTTCCCACAAAAACAGTGTACACAGTGTTCATCCCGACCAATTTTTTACCGTGTTCATCCCAACCTGAATACAGTTACAGTAAAAAAAAAAAAAAAAAAATTTAAAAAACAGCTATACTCCATCCACTTTTCTGTTTTGGTCTGGGGAAATGTCATCTTGCATGGCGAATCTAGCTATGAAAAGCATCAACTGCTATAGCTTGAAGAAGGGGTATACATGTGTGTGTGGATTTCGGTTATACACTTTCCATCCCCAGGCAGAAAAAAAAATTCCTCAATAGGATTGAGGAATGGAGAATATGGAAGGAGAAACATGGGTGGACAGTCAACCAGTTATGAACCAGATGAGATCTGATTTCTAAATTGCAGTTATGTGTGATAGGTGTTTACCTATGTGATGAATTAGCATGCAATGTAAGACAGCTGACTTTACAATTTTGAATGACAATGTGTTCTTTGTGAAACAAGAGATTTTCTGCATGAAAATTGAGCCAAATGCCGAGAATTGTGTGTTCTGTTTTGAAAGAAAGTGTGTTTTAAATCTGCAATTTGAGTGTAAAGCAGGAATTGTGCTTGTAGTTTAGCAGAATTGGTTCAGGAGGTTGGTGCATCAGTTACATGTTATAGTCCTTGTGTCTGAAGTACATGTAATTGTACAACTAAGAAAAACTGTAAGCGTTTAAATGCCACTTTAAGCTGAATACTAGTATCTTGAAAAATATTGTAAAAATATTGTAAAATACTATGTGCTGTCATCATTCATTCATTTTCTTTTCGGCTTAGTCCCTTTGTTAATCCGGGGTCACCACAACGGTATGAACTGCCAACTTATCCAGCACGTTTTTACGCAGTGGCTGCCCTTCCAACTGCAACCCATCTCTGGAAAATATCCACACACACTCATTCAAACACATAAACTATAGACAATTTAGCCTACCCAATTCACCTGTACCGCATGTCTTTGAACTGTGGAAACCGGAGCACCCGGAGGAAACCCACGTGAAACGCCAACTGACCAGGCCGAGGCTCGAACCAGCGACCTTCTTGCTGTGAGGCGACAGCACTACCTACTGCGCCACTGCGTCGCCTGTGCTGTCATCATGGCAAAGATAAAATAAATCAGATTTTAGAAATTAGTAATTAGAATTAGTATATTTAGAAATTTGTTAAAGTTGTTTACGTTAAACAAAAATTGTAAAAAAAAATACAGAGGGGCTAATAATTTCGGAGGGCTAATAATTCGGACTTCAACTGTACATATCACCATATTTATTTACCAACAGACTAAACCCTATACACATTTTTAAGAGGGATGAAAAAATATATAAACATTCATGTGACATGCTGCAAAGCAAAAATAAAGTTATATTAATTAGGATCTGATATTGCAGGTTTTATAAATATCAGGCATCCATATCTTTTTGGCTTCTAGTGATGACTTGTAAATTATTCAGTACTCAAATGTAGCGTCGTGTCGGACCAGGTTTGGCTGCGATGTTTCACTTTGAACGCCAGAACTTGCACAACATTACATGTTGATAAACAGAAAAAGCACCACGCCCGAGGCCATCGTTTTTCTGTGAAGAAGTTCTCATTAGATTTTCAAACGCTAAATGCGCTCCAAATATGATTTGAAGTCATCTTTGTAGTCAACGTGTGCACGTCTGTTTTTCAAGAAGGGTAAACAATGTCAGTTTTTCTTTCTCTAAATGTTATACATCCCAAACCTTTACTCTGACAGTGAAGGTTATCTTTTTTTCTTTTTTTTATTCAGCGAGATCTCTCAAAACCCTGCAGTGTTTGACAGCTCTTGCGTCTGCTGTGTGTTTGTGTTTGTGATTCAGCATGTTGTGAATCTTCCTCCTTCAATGTTGCTCCTCAAGGTCTTGAAGTTGAATAACAGACAAAGCAGATGTTTGGTGGAGCTAAAGGTTTGCTGTTGTTCAACTCGATTCTCATCTCTCTCGAACACACAGGCTATGTGGAGATTCATCAGTGCACTAATATTGACACTCAAGGTGTAATGAGTTGAGTTGACAACAGAGGTGAGGATACAAATGCAGTTTATTAATAGATTTGTAGCAGACAATAGTCAAACCGGGGTCAGACAGGAGCATACAGGTAATTCAAAGTGAGGTCAAAATAACAGGGGAAAGGTCAGGACAGCCAGTGAAATAACATATACAAAAACAAAACATGGCAAGGCTAAAACAAGGAAAATGCTTAGAATTGCTCATTTACAGTTTACAACGCTCAGCAAAGTGTGTGTGTGCGTGTGTGTGTGCGTGTGTGTGCGTGTGTGTGTGTGTGCGTGTGTGTGTGTGCGTGTGTGTGCGCGTGTGTGTGTGTGTGCGTGTGTGTGTGTGCGTGTGTGTGTGTGTGTGTGTGTGTGTGTGTGTGTGTGTGAGCGCGCGTTTGTGTGTGTGTGTGTGTGTGTGTGTGTGTGTGTGAGTGTATGAGTGAGTGAGTGAGTGAGTGAGTGAGTGAGATGTATTTATAGTCCTGGTAATCAGTTCTCATGAGTTTCAGTTGTGTGTTTTCAATCAGTGGTGATTTGGAACTGGTGTGTATGAGGTACATGATGGGATATATAGTCCAGTTCAGTGGCAGATGTGTAGTTAATGAATGTTTTCCGGCAATCTGCACACGCTAGATCGCTGATGATCGTGATAAAATGAGCAAAGAAAGCTATGTGAAAAATATATTTATTGTTTAGCATTTTTATCATTTACTTCAAATTTTAGAGGATAATAAAGTTTATATGGCACCCTGGATGACAAAGTAAGTCGTTCTTTTTTGTACTTTTGGCAATAGTCAAAAATACATATACGGTACAGGTCATTTTATGTCAAAAACATTAAAATATTAAGTAAAAATCAAGATTGTTTATTATTTTTCTAACTTTAAATATTTAAGACTGAATGTTTGATTAGTATTACACATTGCTAAGAACATAATGTGGACAACTTTAAAGGTGATTTTCTCAGGGTTTTGAGAAAATCCAGTGTTTCCAGGGTGGTCGATTGTAAAGAATTCTACTGTATAACCAGAATGGCCACAGCAGTCATTCTGACCATTTATTTATGACTACACCAGGCATGGTTGCATTCAAAGTTTTTGTCGTCATATATTCGTCATTACTCTAAAAATACAATATATTTTTTTATAGCCTGTAATTGTGTACAAGTTACTACAGTAGACCCCCCTGAAGGTGTACTTTGTCTGGCAAGCGAGAGAGCAAGGATTTTTCACTGGAGTGAAAATGTTCTTATTGAAAGTTTGAAAGACATATCTTAAGTAAAGTTATGTTTCTGTCAGCCGAAAGTTGCTAGGCAACTGAGGTACAGTATACACATACAAAGGAATAGAAAAAGTCACTTAAGTTCATGTGATCAATTTGACCATTATAAACAGGTTTCCAACATGTTGTCTGCCAGTGGTTATAATAACCATCCCATGAGTGGTTTGTTTTGTTTTGTTTTGCTGTGTTTTAGTTAGTTTTTTTTCCTTTTTTTTGTGTGTACTTTTTGTTTTTGGTTTGGTTTCT